GTGAGAGCAGTGATAGTAGGAGCTAACTGCTGACTTTATGGAAAGCCAGTGAGTAAAAAAGGCCAGCATGAGTATTCCCACCCCACTAGGGGGAGTCAATCCAGGCAGCCTTTGAATTGAACCATTAGCATCAGGGAGAGCATCTGACCTGAGTCCTAAGAGCTTGGAATGAAGAGATTTTGAAAATTTAAGGGGTTCTTAGGTAGTCCATTGAGCATAATTAAAAGGGCATGAACTAAAATACGTAGGTATAAATTTGTTTGGTTGTCTTTGTCATGGGCAGCCACTGCGTGACACCCACGTTGTGCTGATGTGTTGTAGGAGATAATAAAGTTGACTTCTTTCCTAAAGAAGTGTACTCTGGCATTTCTTCCTCTCTGGTGAGACAAGTAACAGCTGCAGTGTGAGAGGGATCCGCTTCTATTAACATCTCCAGCCAAATAAGACAGAGATTTGGATATTTTTTGCACCCCTTCACATCGTGCACCTAACTGGAGATTTAAAAGCTTTAGCACACGAATCCCCTAAGCATTCTGATGCACACCTCTAAACACTCATGAGCAGCTGCAGTACCACTGGTGGTGGTGAGCGAGTGGGCTCTCCAGAATCTGTATGTGAGCTGACCGTTGTGCTGTTGCTCAGCTCTGCCCAAATGAGCCATCAGTGCTGGGCTGGGGTGCTTTCAGAAGAAAGTAGGACATGCAGTTCTTTGTTTGAAATGGACCGGTTGGGATTTTCTTTTCCTAGCTCAATAAAAAGGCAGCCTTTAGCAAATAATCTTACTCCGCTGTGGCATAATGACTAAGATCTCATGGCATTAGAAAGACACAAGGTCTTTTCCTCGTTCTACTGGAAAACCTTCTCATGTGCTTTGGCTGAATCTTTTCGTGTGCGTTGCAGGTACATTTTTAATGCTATTCCCTTGGTTTCCATTGTAGTAGCTCTTAATTTTATTGTTCATTGGAATCTGAACAGGCTTGGCCAAGAAAATGGTTCTACAGGCAAAGAAAATGCTGCTTAGTCTATTTATCAGGATCCAGAGCTGGATTTATTATTTACTCTCCATAGCCAATATCTGGGATTTTATTCTATATTCTGACTTCCTTACAAATCTGTGGTATATTCTATGCCAGCATGCTACAGAACTAACCACAAACCAGCATCAGATGTGTTTTCTTTTTAAGGCTCTTCAGTAAACTGACTGCTTAACTTTTCAGCTCTGGGCAGATTATGTAACAGAATTTGAAAACTTGTTTCTAAAATGTAAATGCAAATCCTGTGGTTTATTTGTTCAGAAGATACCAACAAGTGTTCTCTGAAATAACTTCTTGTTCTCTTAGTAAATCCAGACCCAGCCTGGTATATGTGTGCATATATATATTTTTTTTTTCCTGCAAAGCAACACTGTGGAAAATACATGGAGATTTATATAGTAAAGGAGTGGGAGCTCTGTGTGTTTCCATGTCTGCTCCCCCTGACACTACAGGAAGCCCCAGGCTGTGCTCTCATCTTTCCTAGACACACAATAAAATGAAAATATAATCCCATGTAAATTCAATAACTAATTTTCACATCTCCATGTTTTCATACTCCAAAAATTCTAGCATCCACACAGGTCTAACTTGTACCTGTCTACCATGATCATCATGTTAATGCTTTCAACTCTGTACTTCTGTGAAATGTCCAAAATTTCTTTCCCCTTGATATTAGCTTAATGCTCTGTGTGTTCTCTTTTTGTCTCCCTCAGCTTCTAGTCCTTCTGTTAGTTGATAGAAATTCTGCTACCAGTCCATGATCCAATAAAAGTGCTAAACTATTCCAGCTTATGTGATTTGAGACATCCTTCACAACAACAAGATTTTAAAATCCGATACCTAGTTTAACAATGCAAGTTCACAATGAATGCAACAAAATGTGCATGAAAAGCTTTATTGAGCAGTTACATAGTGTGGAAACACAGGAGCCAGCAATCAGCAGTACAAACAGCCATCTGCTTGCTCTGACTTTTAAGGAATTAGCTGGTTTTTTTCCCTAAAGCATTTCTCTTCTCAAAATTAGACATTATTCTTCTAACAGTGAAAAACTGACAGTGCTGTGTTTTATGACTTTAAAGACACATCCAAATCAATAGCATCAGTAGTGGATGCAGATGGGTGAAGAGATGGAAATATCCATGATTACCTGGACTTTATTTCAGTGGAGATCTGTTTTTCTTCCCAAAGGGTAATACAGAGCACGTGGCTAGGAGGAGGTGTGGTAAGGGGCCCGTGGCAGACTGGGAACAGGAAAGATTTAGGAAGGAAATTGCATCATGGTTTCACGGGTTATTCAAATGTATTTCAGCTGATTCAAGTGTAGGGATATGTAAGGGTGAGCAAGGAGACAGTATTTCTGAAGTAGGTATTTTGAAGGGCTGTTGTTTGGTGCACTTTATATAAATGAAAGGTACATTTGAATCAGAAGCAATTTGGTGTAGTAATCTGCTAGTGACTCATCCCAAACTTGAGTGGAAGTGGAGCTAGTGTGTGACAGATAGATGTTTGAGCACTGACATGGTACCTGCTTCAAACTGAAATTAATTTTCATCAGTTAAATCAAGAGTGACAGTCGTTTGCACCCTTCTCTAACACCACTCCTGTTGGCTTTGCTTGGTATATATTCCAGTTGAGCCGTCCCCACCAACGCTGCCATTTCATCCCAGCGGAGATTCATTTTTGGCAGTTGAACATTGTGCAGGTGAACAATTCTTGTATTTTACTCTAAATGCAGTAGCAATACATTTACTGAATGCTTCAGTTCCTGAGATGTACAACATCTTTCGTTCTCATGGCTTTTAAAAATTACTTATCTTGCTTCTAGAACAAAATTGTTCCTGTGCTTAATTGGAAGATTTATGAAAACATGTAATGAATCAGGTTGACACAAAGTAAGATTGCCAGGTAATTACAAAAGTTGGGCATTTTGTTCTTTTGTGTTCTTACGCAAGCTTGAAATTGTTCTGTCGTCTACAAAAATTGCTTTAATTTGCGCAGCGCTGTTGGAGAACGTTGCATTTGGAGCAGGACGTGTTCTCATGTCTTACCGAAGGAAAATGGAGTTGTTTAGATTTGTGTGCAGGAACACCTTCCTGCAAAACATCTGACTGTTTTGAATGATGACTGCAGGAAAACACAATGCATTTTAGGTAATTTACTTCTTATTGTCCCTTTAAAATAGCTGTAGGAAAGTGTCAGCAGGTAAAATTCTCCTACTTAGTATTCGTGTTCCATGCAGTGACCTTTCCTTATTGCCTTTGTTCTTTACTACCCAAGAATCACAGATTGGCCAGGGTTGGAAGGGGCCTCAAGGATCATGAATCTCCAACCCCCCTGCCACATGCAGGCCCACCAACCTCCCCATTCAATACCAGACCAGGCTGCCCAGGGCCCCATCCAACCTGGCCTTGAACACCTCCAGGGACAGGGCATCCACAGCCTCTCTGGGCAGCCTGTTCCAGCACCTCACCTCTCTCTCTGTAAAGAACTTCTCTGATATCCAACCTTACTCTTTTCTCCCTCAACTTAAAACCATTTCCCCTTGTCCTGCAGTTATCAACCCTTTCAAAGAGTTGAAACACCATAACACCATAATAGCTAACGTCCAAAGAACTGCTGACCTGAAAGATTAAATACTCACATTTGCCCTTAAAAACTTGATTATGAAATAGTGGTCTTGAGTTAACATCGAGATTAGGGGGGATTTACATAACTTTTAGTTGTGTTTCATACTCAGGTCTAGTTTTTCTCAGGATGTGCAATATATATTTAACTGGTTCTGCTAGATTGCCATGTTATTTCTTAAGAAAGGAAAGAGAGATCACTTAAGTAGGTACCGAAAGTTGATAATCTGTCTTCTGCCCTAATTTGTTCTTGGACATCATCTTATATTGGATTGGTTTTACCTGGTATAAGAGGACAGGACATATGCATCTCCATATAAATCTATCACTTAAAGTTCAGACTCGTGTAAATACATAAAACATTGATCTGAAACTCTGAGGACTGAAGAAAGGAATGCTTGGAGAACAAACAAACAAACAAACAAAAAACAGACTCTGTAGTTAGTAGGTGGAAATACATATTCTCTATGGATGAGTAATAGGCTGGGCATTGGGCAAACATGAGGAAATGACTAGATAAACATGTAAACAAAGTAGGGAAAGAAAATAATAAACTTCTGCAAGATTTTCCTTTGATCTCTCTCTTTTTTGGATGGGATTTGGTAGAGGGGCTTTTAAATTGTTGCTATCAGTTTTCTACTGAGGGAGGGAAGATAGAATTGGCATGGATCAGTGCTATAGCAGAATGCATGCATCTTTTGACCTAAACGATTTGTTGGAGATATTAATAGAATAGTAAATCCAAATCTGATCTATTCTGCAAATCTTAGGTTGCCTTTAAAGTGCTGCTATTTTGGAAAAGGGCTGTGAGCAAATGAAAATAGGAGAACAGCTGTCAAAAGAGAAGACCAGTGATTCCTTCCTTCCTCCCATCAGGGTAAAGCTTCTGAACCCTCCTGTCTCTGTGCTTATTTCTTAAGGCTTAATAGAGCAGGAACTGAGAGCAGCTGGAGAACAGAGACTCATAGTGAACCTTCCCCATCTCTTGCCAACTAATGAAGATACTGACTGTGGTGAAGAGGGTGGAAAAGCAAATAGGAAAAAAATACACCACCCACCCACCCACCCTTTTAAAATTTCATTTGAATAGAATACTTGGACAGATGAACAACCAGAAAATAGCTTGAAAAGGCAAATATAGTGGTTGTGTTCTTGCTCATCTCTATGATTTGGGGAAGAATTCTTGACATTCTGGATAGATCCCACCTACATAACATTGTGTGCCAAAGCATTTGTTTACCAAAGCGTGTTTGTTCACCCAAGCCTGTATTTGCAATTCTAGTTGAACGTGCTGTAGCTGGGATTCAGGAGGCTGAATTAAGAAACATCCATACAAAATTACTACTTTGAGAGCTTTTTTTATTATACTTAGCTTAGCTTTAGCATACCTTCCCGCACATACTGCTCAGATCTTGGGCATACTCAGCTAGCTGACCTGTTTTGTGAAACTTTTTATAAGCTGAACACCACAGTCTATGTTAAGAACAAATGCAGGTCTTATCGTACTGTGAGTTGGGAGGAGGTTTTTTTTAGCAACTAGGGCTTATACTTCAAGAGGTATATTGGATAACTTCAGCTTCAAAGCATTTAACAGCACAGTAATTGATGTGATGATGTGATGTATGCATATCTATTGAAGCTTGCCCCAGATCTTGCTAGCACATGCTGCAAGCTGTATATTTGACACATTAAGAACTTAATTTGCATGTATTTGTAAAGCAACCTGTTATCTTTAGTATTTTGCTATATGTGGTTGATAGGTTTTTTTGCTTGGTTTTGTTTTTGTAGAACTCTATAGGACTTAAAATCAGGTCCAGCACACTTCTTTTCCTCATACACATGGAACCTATGTAAAACCTGTGCAAAACTTCCATGTAAGTAAATGCCTCAAGGCAGTATTGACAATGTGCATCTCCAAGATAACAGAAGGCTGAAGTAAATTAGGCTGTGGTTGGGCATGGTGATGTTAAAGGTCTTTTCCAACCTAAGTGATCCGTGTCCCTATCTGGAGTTCGGTATTGGTGCTGTTCTCCTCCTCCTGATAGCTGAACTTGCCAGTAGAGATGTTGTTTGGGTGCCCGTTCTGCACTGCTCACTTCAGCGAGTGAGGGTTGCAAAAGAGATCTGATCCCAGAGGGCTATTTTGATACCAGTGAGTATAGTTTGATAGTGGTTATATGTCCATGCACTGCGGTTAGCAAGGCTCTGTCTGGGTTGAGTCTGTGGTGGAGAGTGAGCGGGGTGAGTAAGTGAGCAGGGTGTGCACAGGGGGCTTTGAGTATGAAGCAAGTGCTGTCAGGCAGCTTCCTGCACTGCTGCTCATTTGAAGTGCTTTATGTTGCAAGTAAATTTTAGAAACTAATCATCAGAGTTGTTTGTGTTATAACAGAATACTTTGTTTAGCTTGCCTTAACTGAAAAAGTAGTGCAAAGTGACTGATGCTGCAATAATGATACATTCTGGTTACGTTTGAGGAGGTCCATGTAGAGCGCAAGGAGAGGAAAAGGAATGCCCGTATTTTAAGGGCAGATATGGTACTGCACTGCCTGACAACTGTTTTTTATCTTCCAATCCCACCATACATTTATGCAGTTTCTGCCCCAAACTGCTCGCCTATATCAAACTGTCCTGAGGTCTGTTAGTTATAACACTGTGTTGTAGAAAAAGAATGAATTTTCCTAAGTACATTTATAAAAGTATATTCAGAATTTTGGTCATGTAACAGAATGTAAAAAACTAGAACTCTTGTATAAAGGGATAAAAAGGATAACTTACGGCCTTATTTGTCCCCATATTTTCATTTTATTTTCCATCCTTTAAAATCCTGTCTAATACTTGTGTCAGTAACTTGATTTGCATGTATCTGTGCTCTCTAATATTAGTTTATTTGGATAAAATGTGAAGCTGATTATGGTATGGTGCAGATTATAGGCTGGTATCAGGCTCATGAGGTATCTGACTTTCCTAGTGGTATGAAATCTTGCAGGTTTCCTCCCCCACTACTGAGCCCACTGTGTTGCATTTTCTGCAACCAGTATTTCCCCACAGTGTGGTGATAGCTGCTAAGCTCATAGTTGTTGGCTGAAACAGATTCCCTCTCATTTTGAAGGACTACATGGAACGTAACTGAACTTGAAATGTACAAGGAACAGCCACGAACCCTGGCATGTATGCAGCTCTGAATGTCACTACCTTTCAGGGAATTAAAATTCCTTGAAGCTCAGTAAGATCTGAAACTCAAAACTGGCTTTTGGTGGGGGAAGGGAAACAACGTTAGGTCAAGTCTCTTTTGCTTTGTGAGAAATTAGGGTGATGTTTGGGTATGATGAAACCTGTAAAAAGTGCCACATCCAATTTTTCTGCAGAGATTTTTCCTCTCCCCTTACTAGAGGTGATACCAGGACTGCACGTGAGCTGTTTGCTTTGATTTTGGAGCATACAAGTAAGAGTGGCCATTCAGTCCAGACTACAGATGTTTAAAAGTCCCACAGAGATCCACTGAACGTTCAAAGTGATGCTGTTGCTTCTAGGAAGGACAAGAAGCACTGCATCATTGATAAGTGTGAATGTCAAGGCACTGAGGGTGCCACTGAGCTCTTTGTTACAGGACCTTTGCACACGACTGAGAGCAGATGCTGTTTTCTGCAGTTAGTCTTGCTCACAGCAACAGTGGGCTGTTGGCAGTGTCATCCTCGGGTGTAAAGGCACTGCTGAAGAGAATGAGAGCTTCACATATTTTTAACAAAAAACGTAATTACTCTGAAGAGCATTGGCAGGCAGTTTCCTTTTCCAAGTTAGGCAGCGGCATCCATGGCACACACGTTCTCCTAACTCACTTTTGTTATCACTCAGCCACACTTGTTTTTCTTTATTAGTGACACTGCTGTTTTTGGCACAATGCCTGCTTGTGTACTTGTGTACCAGCATTCATTTCTATTATGTGCGTCACTTGATTTAATCCTTTTTTTTTCTTTTTAAGCTTCTGTGAATAATTTCTTTGATCTAGTGCTGCTGTCATCATTCCTTTGGTCCATGTTATGCCTACCCTGTGATGTTTGTGAAATGACGCAATTTAGTACTGTTTTTCTGCAGTTATCCATTGCCTTGTTTAGCAGTGTTTGTTATGCTAAGTGTGGTTCCCTTCTGGTTTGGATCTCCACCAGCCTGAGTGCCCACAACACTCTTCTTGTAACGCAGGATCATCTTTGTGTCTGGAGCTCTGGAAAGCCGTGTCAGCTCACTGTGAATGTCATTCAGGACTGGGAAGTTTCCTCTCCTTGCAAGTTTTTAGCTTTGTTGAGGTAATACTCACTCTTCCAGTATTTCTCAGTGAGGTGGCTTGTGTTAGTTTTGGTTGGTGAGTTGGTTTCTCTGGAAGCAGAGGCTGAAGCATATAACTACAAATCAGTCTCTTACATATCCATTCGATTCCTCCAAATTGAAAGACTATCTCTGTAATCTGAAGACATTTTGTGGATGACTGAGAATATGGAAAGAAAAAAAAAGTAGGAAAAAAACATTTCTCCTACAGAGCTCAAGTAAAACTGAACTATTATTCAGACTCCTCTAATAAGCACAGGCATGCAACTATGAAAATGAGTTAAATGAAAGCTATTAATATGCATACATCCATTAAGTGTTACAAAACCAACTTCAGTAAAAAACAGTTACCTGGTGACACTCTTGCTTGCACTGTGGAGTGTAAGTCAGTCTTCTTTTCCATTGTCTTAACTTTCAGGCTTTCAGTGAAATCACTTTCTCACTAAGAGACTTCACTTATTTGATTTTATCCTCTACAGCCTATGATTTCTGGTGATCTTCTGTACCTAGGGAGTCTCTCAGAAGATTGTTTTCTCCAGTAGGTGAGTCTTGGGTGTCATGTTTTGCAGCACCGTGTGCCTGGTCCCAACCTGCCTAGTCCCACACCTCTTAGAAGTCCAGTCCCTAAGCAAGCAGTGAGGATGGATATGGATTAATCAGGTGATTCCGAATCAGAGGCTGGGGAGCAGAGTGAGTGTAACTGAGAGGCGCTGAGCACAGAGTGATGGAAAAGGGCAGGTATCCATCTGTCTTCATGTATTTTATGGGGTCTTTGTGACAGTCAGAATCCTGGGTAGCTGGAGGTAGCTCGAGGTGGGGTTTTTTGTTGTGTTTTTGTTGTTTTTTTTTTTTGTGGGGAGGGGGTTGATGTTTTTTGTTTGATTCTTTTTATTTTTTATTTTTTAATGGCTTGGACTGGAAGGGACCCCAAGGATGAAGTTCCAACCCCCCTGCCACAGGCAGGGCCACCAAACTCCAGATCTGGTACTAGACCAGAACTCTAGACTAGGATTCTTGCATTAAAATCATTTGGCAAATGTGAAGTTAGGTACAAAGGCCAACGATTGATTCCTGAGAGATGTCTAAGTTTCAGGCTTTATAGGCTAAAGTCTAACAGAAATTACTTAAAAGATGGCTTGATAGCAGTGTTACATTTGTGCCTTTTGATGAGCTTTATGCATACATGAATTTGGTTTAATTGGAGCTGTTGGTGGTGGTATGCAAGATAGCATCACAGAAAAATTTGATCTCAGACATTAGCTCAACTTAGTGTCCAAATCTGACTATTAATTGCCCTTTGTAGGGGGCAAGGAGTTTGTGTTATCAGTGAGCGTAAGGTGTAGGACAGCAAACTGGGTGTGAAAAAGTTTGAAGCTGACAGTGAGATGGTTTTTTCAAGGTGTTAGTCAATTGACCCACCATGTTTCAACAGTAATAAAAAACATTGAACTACACTTCTCCCGTAACTGTGCTTGTTGTGTAAATATTTGAATATTTATCTAAGTACCACAGCATATACATATAGAACAGTGCTTATTAACAAAGGTTGTGGCTATGTTTAAACACGTTTTCTGCATTCCTATTTGTCTTTGTCTTACAGTGTTTTTATTTATATTGTCTGTTTCAGACCTCTGGTAAAATTAGACTTCTAATCTTTGGTAAGCGACACAGATTTTCCTGCCAGCTTAGGCACATTTTAAAAACAGCTTTTACTTTACACTTAATAGTTCATATTATAGTGCTACCTGTTTGTACTGGGCTTGGAGAAGTCCAAGTGGATTGAAACAGTTCCTTCCTTTCCTTTTTTTTTTCTCCTCTCCTACCACCCAGTCACTGAGATTTTTCAACAGAAACTTTACATAGTTTGAAAGAAGCACAGCTTATGGGTTTGTAACATTCCTCAGAAGCCAGGTACTGCAAAGCAGTTGGTGGAGGCTAGATTCATTGTGTACACTGCTTGCCAGGCAGACATAAATGGGGAATGCTCGGGAGATCCCATGGATAAAAACATCAGAATGGGTGTGACTTATAAGTTCACTCAAAGGCGAGTTTAGCTCTGTGGTTTTGTGCCACCAGCTATCCCAAAACAAATTGTCATTAGAGTACTAAACTTGAAAAGCTCAACAAAGAAATCTATACATTAGGGTTACTTTAAATTTCAGGATCTTAGCAGTGCTTTGTATGGTGTGATGCAATATATAGCTACATTTGCTGTGGAATTCATTCTGGCAAACTGCAGTTTAGGGATACATACCACACTGCTGCTCTGTAATTACTTAGGCTGAGGCTAGCTCCATAGTGAGAGGAACCATAGCATATATACATAAGATTAAACAGATGACAGACCAGTCTTCAAAGAGTTTTCAGCTGCGAGGAAGGACAAATTTATCTCTTCATTCAGAGCTTTAGGGCTCAGACTGTGTGGTCAGGTGGGCAGAGTTAAACTACCCCTGGGCCAGGGTCCTCTGCTCTCCTGCCCTGAGGCCCTCTACTGTAAATCAGTATGGCTCTGTTCAGTGGCCCTGCTGATGAGTGAATGATTAACCAAAACCCATCAACCAGACGGGAGATGGGCACTGCTAAATGACTTGAAAGTAACTCCTGCATACAGATTAGCTGATTAAATTATTTGCCAGTGAGTTACTTGTACTGACTGAAGTTCAAAGCCTTCTCTTCTGGATGAGAACGAGACATACCAGCACAGTTTCCTTAAAAATTCTCCATGAGTGCAAGACAGATACCTGTTGCCACCATGCAGCATCCAGATCTAGCAATGCGTGCCCCACACTATGAAATTCCCAAACTGGATAAGGGCAGGCTAAAAAGGGAGAATTCCTCACACCTTCCTGGGAGGACTCTGCTAAAATGGCAGGCCACGATCCAGTTGACTTGCAGCCTGTGTGCGCGCAGTCACAACACTCACCGGAACGCTGCCGTATTTCAAACTGTGCCAGGCTGCTTTGCTGGTTGGCATGCAGAGAGCTCTTGGACGACTGTCAGCATGTGACGGTGTGATTGTGTAGAAAGTCTCGCAGCAGGACTGCTTGGAAACCGGATCTCCTCGCTTGGGATTCGCCAGGAACATGCCGATACCTGTGACTGCGTCAAGGAACTTCGCCGTGTCTCGTCAGGCCTACGTGTGAGTCCTGTGAAGACATGCTTGCAGAACGCAGGGCTTTTCCACCGGGCACCATTAGAGCAGTTTGCCGAGGAGGAAGACTGTTGGGCACTGGGGCACCCAAGTGCAGTGCTGTGCATTCCTGCTTGCTCACTCTTCACACAGCAGTCGAAAAGCAAAGAATGATTTTGAAATCCATGGAATCACTTCAGGTATTTGCATGGAAGAGGATAAAACATCATACTTGATACTTCAAACTTGGTATTATCATTTGTGCTGCACGCTTGCCTCTTCAGCTTTGTGTGAGCAGTAACTGTATGCACATTTAGAAACTACAGCTTGTGTGCGTTAAACAATTGATGACTCTTCATGGTTAGAGGCTGCATGTGCAGCAGCTCCACGTGCACAGGTGTCCCTGCGGACTCCTGGCAGCCCTGAACACATTAGGCCTGTTCAACAGAGTGGAAGCAATGCTGCCATTGAAACAGATTTTTTCTGGTACGTGTATTTTTATTTACTTCCTTACGGCCACAGTCCGCTATAGAAAAGCTCACCGAGTCCGACGTTGTAGCTGGAGCGCTGCAACCTACCCTCCAGTTCCGCAGGCCACTGCAGCGCTTCCCCGCAGCCCGCCTCCAGCTAGGGCCAGGCCTGTCCCGAGGGGCTGGGGGCCGCGCTGGCCGGCGGGCAGCCCCGCCCGGGCCGTGTCCCGGCGCCGCGGGGGCGGAGGGGAGCGGCCGTGGGCGGGCAGGGGGCGGCCCGCCTTTACCGCCCGGCGGCCCCTCCCGCGCTACCCGGGGCCGGGAGCGGGGCGCGCTGTTCTCTCCTGCCCGCGGCCGGCGCACGTGAGGGCTGTGGGGGCCGGGCACGGGGCTCGGCTCGGCGCTGCGGTAGCCGCCCGTCCCAGGTGGAGCCGGCCCTCCTCCACTGCGTTTATATAGATATATATTTATATATAATTTTTTCCGTCGTTGGAACCGAAAGCGCGCTCGCGTGCGACTGTGTTCGCCTGCGGCATTCCTAAAGCGGGCGTGAGGCGGAGGAAAGCGAAACGCTGCTTGGAGAGCCAACCGAGAGCCGCGGTGCCTCCGGGGCTGAGGACGAGTCCGGGAAGGTGAGCAGCTGGCGGCGTTCTGGGGGACGAAGGGCTCCCTGCCCCCGGGCCGTTCTGACTCCGTGGCGCTGCGGGGAGCGGAGTTGGAGCCAGGCGCTGCTGCGCGTCAGGTGGCACCTGGTTGGGGCTCCGCGTACCCGCGAGGGCTGTGATTGCCAGGAGGGTAGTTAGGGTAACGTGCGAAGGCTGCGGCCGTTCTCACAGCTCGCCTGCTTGTCTTCACACTGCTGTGAACGTGTCTTCTGCAGCAGCTCTTAGAAATACTGAGCTGCTCTCTTCTGTCCCGCTAACGGGTCCTGAGGGATCCTGTGAGTATCGCAGGGCTGCTGCTGTATAACGCCCTTCTTGTGCTCACAGCCTCGTTCAGGGATGAGGCCGACTCTAAGACTGCTGGTATTTCATTCCTTCGTTCTTTTAATACATTAAAAAGACAAGGTGTCCCTGCAGTTGCTCTTGTGGTTTTTCAGTCTAGAGGTTTAAATATAGTTCTGATAGTTTTTTTTCTTTTTCAAGTGCAAACCTGCACATCGATGTCTCTAATGACTGCAATACCAACTAATTACGAAGAGGGGAGGTGTATGAGGAGGAGTGCTTTCCCAAAGACACTTGAGAGTTCAGGAAAAAATGTTTCGAGCTTTTGGAAGGCATTTTGGAAAGTTCCCTGTTAATGTTGTCAGGGCAGACTCCGTGCGTGGCATTTCCAATAACTGAAAGGTAGGGAGCAGCCCTCTTTATTCCTCTGAAGACATTTAGAGGTGGTTGTTTGGGTCAGAAATACACATGTTGAACTTCACGAGCAGTGTTGTTTTACCATTGTGACACTTCAAGGCTGAAGCATCCGCTATGGTTATGGGGTGATGATGAATTGCCTTAAAATTGTTTTCCAACCTTAATTTCCCCCTTTGATTGTAAATTACAGCCTCACCACATCTGACATTACTGCACCGAGCTCTGTTATACATGCATAAACCAGTGTGCTGTGAGTCTGTGCATTCACACAATTAGAGCACCTTAATGCTCTGTGCGGTTCCAGAACGCATGGGGTCAGTGTGTGTGTTTACTTGTAGGAGTGTGTAAACTGTTCTTGCAAAAAGGCTGCAAATTGCTGGGGGTAGTTGCACTCACAGCATGAGGAATCAACGGTGGTGAACTGGCTGTGTAACTTAGATAGTGCTAAAAGCTCTTTCTCTGATGTCTTTCAATATTCTGCTGCTTAAACTGTTGCCTTTTCCCCATCCCACAGCTGCATGATTCTGGGCAGTTGTGAGCTCTGCTCAGAACCATGGCTCGGGTTTGCTTCCTTCATTGTTCTGTAAATCCTGATACGCTCTGTTGTGTGGATGTTTTGCCAATTTTAGTATGTGAACTCCAGTAATTTTCTCTGTGCTGAATGCACAGTAACAACATAAATCTTAAACAGAGGTGAATCCGGATCTATTCATGTAGCAAAATGGGAACAGCTGGGGACTTCTGTTCAAGGTCATGGAAAAAAAAAGAAAAAAAAACCCAACAGAGGGCAGTACATCTGGAACTGAAATTTGGGTTTCTCCAGCTTAATCTGCTGTGAAAGGGGCGACGTAAGGCTGGGATTATTTGCTGTGTGTTTACTGAAGCCTGACTGCCCTCTTACGTAGAACCGAACAAGTTGCAAGCGGCTGGTATCGGTGTGTGCCCCACTTCTGGGAAGCAGCTCGTGCTGCAGCTGCACCTTCTGCTCTGCACTGTCCTTAGGCATCTGCCCTTAGCTGTAATTGGACCCGGTGTGTAGGAAGGCTGAGGAAGCATGCCAAAAATGTGCAGGTAGCATGTGCAGTGCAAGCTTGGGTCTTGCTTGGGCTGCTCCTGCTGTAAGTCAGTCGCCATCTGAGATGCTGTGACCTTTCTGCAAACTGTAGACACAGGCTAAAGATTGAATTTGTATATAACCACGTGTGGATTAGAAGCCATCTTTTATTGGTGGCAGTTGTGCTTAGGCCCATTTTATTACTCAGGTATTGCTTACCACAGCAAAGAATCTGCATTCTGTTATGTAATAAACAGGAATGCATACAGATACTATTTTCTATGTAGAATGTGTATTTTATGTATCAATCGCTGTATATTTACAAAGGTAAATATAAATATGTATTTGTATGTAAGGTATGTCTGTTAACTTACTGGAGCTTATTCTGGGAGGTGGGCTAGAGAGAAGGGATGTTCTTTACTGCAGCAGGGAGGTGGGATGTAGTAGAGACTGAAGAAAGAAGTTACTGCTTTCAATCCCTTGGTTCAGTTTTCAGTTCACTGCTTCTTTCTACTTGTAGAAAAGAATAGCAGGTAGAATTGGACTTTGCCCAAGTGGCTGTGGAGTAGTGGTTTGCTCTTCACGCTGGTGCTACTGAGGATTTTTAACAAGCAAGGTAGGTGGTGGGTGTGTAAACAGTGATCAGCCTTTCTTTCCTTCGTACCAGTGGCTGATTTAAAAGAGGGCTTGAAGATAAGACAGGGATTGGACAGAATGTTTTGGTTAGTGTTCTTCTTTTTCATCACTTCTGATTTCTGGAGGTCTGTGCTGGTATCTAATGTTTTCATACCAAAATGGTATGCGTGTGGTATGTGAAAGAGTAGCCTGTGTGCAGCCTGTTTCCTTCAGAACTAGATTCTTCAACAGCTTCTAGGCATCCATCTCTCCTTAGAGAAGAACAGTGGTCTGTGTTTTGCTTTTGAATCTTTTGTGACTCCTACAGTCCCTGTCTTTCCTCCTCGTGATTCTGCATTGGATTGTGGATAGCCTGTATCTCATTTCCTGGTGGTGAATGGTTGGGTCACTCCTTTTCATCATAAAGAGCAGAGAAAAAGTTGGCTTTCTCAAAATATCTGTCATGTCCTGTGATATATCAAGGGATTTGGGGAGAAGGCTGTCAAGTGATGAAAAGTGTGCTGGAGATGGTGCTCTCTAAGAGGAGATCAAGTAATGTTTATAGCAAATAGTAGGACTCTCTCCTGTGTCTTTGTTCTGTTTCCCTTAAGTTTGTTCTGTGGCTGGAGTTGCACTCAGGTGGGATTTTCTGCAGCTGGTTTTACTTGTGACTCAGTCCTAGAGTAACTTTTTGCAGGTGGATTATTAGTGTGTAGGGGAAATGCCTGTTCTGTTTTGGTAGGTGGGGTATGGATCCTGGTGAGTCTTCCAATTATGCTTGCAGAAAGACTGGCTTTTGGTCTTTTTGACTGTTCTCTCTGCTTTCCTTCTATTACTTGTAGTGAATTTAATGGTTGTTTTATTCCAGCCTTAGTCAGAAGCATTTAGGGCAATTTGACTACAGCTATAAAAGCAACGAGTGCTTCCTAACCTAATTGTGGTAGAGACTGAGTCATGAGCTTGGAGGGAGAGGGTCTTTGGTTTTGCATTGATATAATCTTCAGGTTATTCTCATTTATGAAAAGAAAACAGTCTGATTAAACTTCAGAAATGTTTTATGATGTGTTTGGAGCCTATCTTACATAGAATGGAGTTGAGAGGAAGTTGCTGTATGTCACAAACTCCTTAGTGTTTGCTTGTTGCATGTAACTGTAATGAGGTTGCATGAAGCGGTTTTTTGTGAGGCATTCAGAAAATTCTTCATTTGTGTGTCTAGAGCTATATACGTTCACATTGAGTCAGTTTTGCTATTGCCACGCTCTTGCTTCAACAGAGACAAGAGTCAGCTTGAAATTTGGCATTGTTGCGGCTTCCTACAGGAAACAGTGAAAATAAAGCTTGCTGCTGGATGGCCACAGTGGAGAGAATGGACGTGGAGCAGTTGGTTAGGCTTGAAATTTTGCCAGGAGAATGCGTGACTTCTGCTCTTCCCTTGTCTATCTGTCTGTGCCTTCCTGTGTTTCAGACCTCAATACTGCAGTGACTTGATGGTTCTAGTTCATCACAGTTGTTTTTAACAGCATTGATTTTGGTGTTCATGTCCTGCATGATCTGCATGCTCTTTATCTAGTGCTCAAGTATGATTTTAGGGTATTTCTTTTATAGGCTGTTCTTTATTTTTTAAAAAAAGCTTCTCCTCCTTTCTGCTTGTTGCCAGCAGAGGCAGGGTTTGCTTGTTCCTAGCTGCAGAAAAGCTGTAACCAGAGGCAGAGACTTCTCACCTGACAGTGTCTATTACATTTTCCCATATTTGACAACCTTCAAGACACTGCAGTTTGTGCTTTTGGAGTTGTGTGTGAGAATGCTGTCTCTTTGCTCCTTGTGACTTTCATGCAGTTATCATGGCACTACTGGTTTTACCTACTACTAAAAATTCAGCATGGAGAAGGGTAAGGTAAATCTGTCCCTAGTTCTGCAGGCAGACCTGCAGTTCTGACGAGTTCTTCAGAGCTCGTGTGCTCACAACAAATAGAATTTAAAGAAAGCTCTGATATTCTGGACTGTAATGGCCTAAACAATAATGCATTTATTCCAGCCTTGGCAATTCCATGTAGCTTTGGTGACCCAGGCTCAACTTGGAGGAGATTCCTCAGGGAAGGAAAAGAATCCCAGCTGGGGACCTTCCAGGTAGCTTAAAGAAAGAGACTCGAACACTGCAGTTTCAACTT